CATAGCACTGAATTGTAGAAAAGAAATCGAGGTCTTTCTGCATTGGTATCTGTGGTTAAAATGGGGTTAGTGATTAGAGTGGAAAGTATTTCCCCTTTCTGCAGACCTGTAGATTTTCTCATTATGTTCAGAATTAAATCAAGACCTGTTGAAGATCAAGAAGTTGTTTCCCAATAAGAGAAAGATTGAAGAGTATTTATTTGCCTTATAAGTATTTGTCATGATGCYAGACATTAGTTTCAGGAAAAGAGCTATTTAGTAAGCAACAGAATCCCATCATATATTCACTGACTTTCTGATTATGTCAGTGTGAAATCRAGACTTTTTAGAAGTCAGAAAAGTCCATTAAAAAGTGTCTTAGGGTTTAAGGTGCTCTTATTCATGATTGTGGTATAATGTGTCTTTGAGTTTCTCTGTCCTTGGTCCATTATAGGGACTTGAATAAACATTGTGTATCTACCTGAGTGTGCTAGAGTCTCTTGCTTTTTGCTGCGGAGAATGTCTTAGAATCTTGTAGCAGATAAATCTCACTTGAAATTAATTTGAGCTACCAGACAAAAAAGAGAATGGTRGCAGAACTTGAAGTGTACAAAGCTTACCTGGATAAAAGGTGAATAGCCTCTGTACCTCATTYGGTTATTTATAGAAAATATAAAGATTCTGCATTTTACAGAAATTAAAATATCTACATTGGTATTAAAATATGATGCAAAAAGGATCCAGCAGCTCTTTACCAAAATCAGTGCATGATCTTTTCGTAAAACAACAATTAAGGCCTTAATTTGGAGAGCCCTCTATAGAACAAGACATAATCTGGTCTTTTTGTGAGTAAGATGCAACATCCACTCTTTTATATAAATAGAATTAAAGAAGAACAACCATTAATTGTGGAAGATAGTGATTGCACATTGTGTAACCTTAGAAAATAGTCAATTCTTCGCATGAAAATGTGTGCAATTTGTAATTTTGTATTTGATATTTCAGTAAATAGGGCATCCAAATGAAAATTTATTTGCAAAGAATAAATTTTCAACCATGTAAAAAGAAAAGTAATAATAAAAAGGAATAATAATAAAAGTAATAATATTCAGTTAATATATTTAGGGATGACAACAGAGGAACCCTTTGGCCTTAAGCATATTACTTGAAAAATAAGGATCTTAAATGTAGAGCTGTCCTCTGTCATATAGATGACAACTGAGTGCTTCTTAAAATCAAGGAGTGSATGACTAAGGTTCTTTGAAAAAGAGAAAGGAACTTTTAAGTAGCAAAATGTGAATATTAAACAACCGCAAATTACTTGTTTGCCCAGTCCATTTAAGTATAAATTGTATTACTTCATTTCTAATAAATCAACATTATGTGCATTGTTTAAATAAATTTTAAATGCAATRGAAGAGTGTCTTTAGTTGGAAAATTAAATCTTGCTAACTAAATTAAGATCCCTTAGTTTGGGGGTACTTCTAGGTTAACATATTGTTGAGAAGTTCACATTAAGTACTGCAAATCAATACAATGAAGGGTTAATTGTGAAAACTGATACAAGTTTTACTTTCTTATAAATCAAGAGGTTGGTAAAAYGTACACTTACTGTTGATCATTAGAATACAAAACTATCTGTTAAAATCAATTAACATGCATATCTGATGACTGATTGTATAAATATGAAAGTCAAATAATTGTAATCGTTAACCATGGYTTCAGGTCATATGAGTTGTCAGCTCAAAAAAACTGGAGGAGAAAGAGGTTGATTTGCATATATTTAATGTGGCATGCTGTACATGTGGGAATTTGAGATAAACCTTTGCTGGTAATCTGCTCGTTTTTATCTAAAAATCTACTAGGGAACATGGGTCATAATAGTCAAATGAGCTATATCTTGTATTGATAGGAGTTGATTCAGTAGTTWGGGATTTAACATTTTGCTATGTTTTAATGTTTAAAAATTGATTTTTTTCCTTAGAGACAATTCTACGAAGCTGGTTAAAAAGTTGCTCAGAAATACTCAAAGTTTTACTGATAACAWGCTCAAAATTATTCTGTAACRTTGTAGGATTGAGTTACTTTCACASTTTTTAGTTAGAATTACCAACATGTATAATATATACTTGTTTCTTTTTATAATTAAAAAATAAAAGATACATTAAAATTTTTTATGAAGTATTGTACTGAGTCAGAGAAGTATCTTTCTATATGAAGTGAACCTAATAGTTATCTTTCATTTAATTGATCAGTTGTAATAAATATAGGCAGGGAATTGTGGCAGAAGAATGTATCTTCTAGTCTTGAGAGATTTATGTATTATTTAAGTTCCCTAACATATCCATT